GTCAGCCACACGGGAGATCAGTGCCTTTCCCACTATACCACCTGCTGGTCCTACTTCTAAGGTTTTAAAGATCTGAATCAACTTTTTCTTATAAAGACCTGTTCCCTAATTTAATGAAATGTAATCTTGCATTTCCTTAAATCTCCTATGTTATGCTTGTAAGGAATTCTTCATTGAACAGATGCAAAGACTGAGCTTCTGGGGAGGCAGCCTGGAGGAGGAGGCAGAGAAGGGAGGTGAGCGTTTGACAGATGTTGGTCTGGGGAACTCTCTATAGCTCTAGTCGTATGTACCTGGACAAAACTTGGCCTCTTTGTCATCTTTGGTAAAATGAGGGACCTGGACAGAGGTTCCCTTCCTAGCTAACACTTTGTCAGCACCAACTTCATCCCTTCTGCCATGAGAGCGCCACCTGTTGTGGGCTTGCTTTCTGGCCTATAGCAATATTGCTTTATTATTCGTCCTGAAAGAAAGGCTGCTTTATTATTTGGTGTGAAAATTTTCCTACTGCATGTTTAATGACCATCTAACGTAAGAGAGGACTTCAAAATGTTTGTGAAAAAATGGAATTAAAGTGCAAGTTTGGGAACCAGCGGTTAGCGTAATGGCTATGTCGCTGGACTCCCACGTAGTCGACTGCGGTTTGTGTCCTGGACCCGGTGGCTTAAAACTCACGCCGGGCGAGTGTGCGTGCGTGCCCAAGATCCCGAGAGGAGAAGGGATTGCGGCGTGACCATCCCCCCTGGGGGGTGATTTCTCGCTTTCTGTCTCTATGTCTCTCTCTGTCTGTCTGGCGAGCGCACGCGCCCTACAGTGAAAATCTCTCCAAAAAAAAAAAAAAAAGTGCAAGTTTATCCCGATGCAATTTAAAACAAAAATCCTTGCATAGTTTTTTCATAAAATGCATTTTGTATGAACTTTTTGAAGAGCCCTTATAGAGGCTCTTACCTCAAGTTTCTAGACAGACCCTGACATGAGAAGCGAAAGCTTACGTATAGGTAAATATTGAAGAGATTAGGGGAAGGCTTTGCAATGTTCGTTTATTCATTCAGTGACTACTGAACACCTATTCTCCATCAGGATGGAGTGAAAAAAGGCAAAGAAAACGGTGACCTGGGCAGGTAAAGTCCCTGACTTGGTAGAGCCCTCATTCTCATCAGGAAGGACTTCAGAAAGGAGTGAATGAGCAATGCCCGTGTAGCAGGATGGAGATCTAGCAGGGTCGGTTGGAACATGCCGGGCGCTAGAGCAACTCCAGAAAGGGGCTCCTCGTGCAGGCTTCACCAGCTTCTCAAGGGCGTTCGTGAATCCCCCCAAAAAGATAAGAACGTCTGAATGAAAGGAAGGAGAACTTGGCATGGTAGGGTGAGAGACACTGGAGAAATGATTGCCTGTGGACACACATATCTGAGATGCTAACTCACACCTGCTCAGGAGTTCAGCAGTGCAGAGTCGCGGAGAAAGACCGGAAATGATCACTACCACACTCACGGCCGTCGCAAGGACACTACTGCACGTTCACATCTCACTAGACTTGTGCTGAGCATTTATTGCCGGGGCACGCTTTCATTCCCACAGGATTTCGGCAAGTGGTCTAGTCCTGTCTTACACCCGAAAACACTAGGGATTACAGACATTACCTGTTCAAGGTGTCCGAACCAAAAAAAAAAAAATGAACATGGCAAATCTGGGATTTAAATCCAGGTCTGTGTGATTCCTAAGCCTAACACTAGTAAAGATGTTCATGATTTTGGGGTCACAGGAAGGTGTACCTGAAACCTCTGCTTCCACCTAGGTTGGAGAGTCATGTGTTCTCGAATGGTTTCGCCATTTATAGCTAAGTTTTAGATTTAAAAATCGAAAGTCGGCACCATCTGTTCCTCCTGACAGCGCAAGACATCCTCTTGTAGGCAGGCTTTGAGAGGCCCTCAATTACCAGCTCAAACTGAGTTAGTTTAATATACCTGTTCTGTGGCCAAAAACCATTCACAGAGTTCAAAGAAGAAGCAAAGCTCTAAGGGGCTTATTAACCATTTAACATTTCCAAAGCATGTGGGGCTGCTAATTCCATTTGCTGCAGAAATACTGTCATGATGATTAAGACCTAGTCGCTGTAGGAACGCAGGAATGTGAAATCCATTTTGCTGGCTGCACAGCTCCCACATGTTATTCTAAGCTGCCGGACGATTCTCTGGCTGGCTGAGGGCTGTCCTCTGTCTTCCAGTTGACCTTGACACCCCCACTGTTTAAGCTTCCGTGTGATCTCTTCCCTCGTCTCTGAGAGCTTGATCCAAAAGACACACAGCCCCTGAAACAGCCCCTAGTGCTAGTCTTACCCCACCCAAACACCTAGCCCTGTAGAAATGTCCTTGTCTCAGAATTGAACTGGTTTACTCATTCAACAAGACTTTACTCAGGGCAAGGTCTGGGATTGCCAATGGGAATACAGGACTGAGTCGCTTGTGTTCTCTAAGAGCCCTTGTTCTATGGACTGTGACATAAGGGAATGAAGGGACTCACTTATGCCACAGCTCTAACTGCCTTAAGGGGGAAGCCTTCTCCTGATCTCTTAAATATTAGCCTTTTATGAAAAGGCTAATGGGAGGGTAAAGTCAGGTATGGCTGGGTCCAGGGGGGGGGGGGGGGCTCAAGCAAGGCTAGGGGCTTGGCATCTCTTTCTTTCAGGCAGCCTCTGCTCTGGGAGGGTAAGGTGGATACCAGCAGCTTAAGGGTCACATCCTGCTAGCTTGGAGTAGAAAGGCTGTTTTCGCCAGTTGTGCTTATGGACCCTGTGCACAGATCACGTGGCTCACCTTGGGATGTGTGCCCGTTGCTGCTGAGTCAGTCGCCATGGCCAGAGGGACAAGGTTTTCTCGGAGACCAGTTCGAGATCAAGGACACACCTCTGAGGGCATGAGGCAGCTGAGCAATGGAATCAGCCCCATCTGAAGCATGAGGGACAGGATCATTCCCCACAGGAAGGAGGGATTTCATGAAGGGAAAAGAAATGCAGAAAGAAAGCAAAGTACAAAGAAAACAGAGAAACCCAAAACGTGAAGCAAGTCCAAAGAATTCAGAAATGCTTCCAGGAGGGGCTGATGTTTAAGCAGAATCTTGAAGGTGAATAGAAATTCAGCAGTAGTATGGGAGCGAGACCTGGAGGTTAGCCCTGTTTTGCTAATGGGCTCATAGGAATGACCTCAGAAAATAATGTTCATATATTCATTCATTCAAAAGAAGTTTTCCGAACACCTGTCATCCATACAGAGGGGTCTCTTTAGTTCTAGGACTGCAATGACAAACAGGACAGGTCCCGTTTTTGTCTGTCATGGATATGACAACGTAAGAGAGAGACAAAGAATTATCGACAGAATAATTATTCTTCTTATAAGTGCTTAAAAGAAAAGCATGCTATGCTAGGGTTACAGCACAGTAATGCCTTGTGTTTCGGTTTTTCCAACTACCTAATGAAAGTGAATATTCTTGTTTTTCCTTCCGCAATCAATCAATAACACAATGCGGAAGGCAGGTGACACGTTTACACCCACGAGTGGAAAGCCAAGAACACCCGGAAGTAGAGGGTAAAGTAGGGAGACGGCTGTTTCTGTGCTCACGTGACTGGCTCCGGAGCGCCGCGGTCCTCACAGGCCCAGGTGGTTAACTGCGTTCCCCCCTCCGCGTTCCTGACTCGGCGCTTTCTTTCACTGTAATGGCTGTGTCCTTAGACCACTGTATCTGTGCTGTTTGTTTATTATGTCCTCCTGTGAAGCATTTGGGGTTCGAAACTACTTTGGGGGAGACCAAAAAATGGCCTGGTGGTCATGGCTCTGGACTCCCACATGACTGACTGTGGTCTGAGTCCTGGACCCAGTGGCTTGAAAATCATGCCGGGGTACGCGAATGTGAGTGCCTAAAATCCCGAGAGGAGAATGGAGGAGAAGAAAGTGCAGTGTAGCCATTCCTGCCAAGGCACGAATTCTCACTTTCCCTTTCTTTGTCTCTGTCTGGCAAGCACATGTGCCCTATGGCAAAAAAAATTTTTTAAAAAAACAAACAAGTCACTTTTGGGTATGCAAGTAAGGAAAAGCTGGAGTTCCTGTTTTTAAACTACTGGCTATTGCTCAATCATTTCAATTGACGATACTGTTTTGTAACCAATCTGGTCATAAAAGACTCCACTATAGAATTCTCCCCCGTAGGCATTTCCAGGAGAGAGGAATTTACCTGCTCATTTATATACTCCTGAAATAGCAAGAGAGGACAGTGGCGAGACAACAACTGCAAATGATACTGCCACCAGGAAATGCCACAACCACCATAAAACGGCAGCACTGCCTTGAAAGGGCAGCGCCACGGAAAGGTTTGGAGTGATGGACAGGGGTGCCATCCGTGCAGAGGTTCCCTTTTACGCGCTGCCTTTGATTCTTTATGAAATGAGAGCCAGATGCTTATAGTTAACATTTTTAATGGGTTCACATTCCCAGGTAGCTCAGAAAATCCCATGAATAAATCAAAGGGCCTTTCTTAACTGAATTTCAAGGGATGCTACAATGTCGCTGATGCATTAATGAATTAGGGGCCCTGAAAGCTAGATTCGTAATTTTTTCTGAACGCTCCACCCTCTTGCCTCCTCTACATACATGCACCCCCTTACCTCCCCCCCAAAAAGTCTGGAAAAGGAACTCAGGGATAAATGTCTCAGTGCCACCGACTGACAGTGTGTCTTCTACAAGACAGAGTTACTGAGAGAAAAATTTCCAAGTGATTTAAAAGATACCATTTAAATTCTATTAGAATTTTTTTTTGAAATAAAAGGCAATGAGTTAAGTGAGAATAAGATGTAAACCTTCCTGCGATATTTGATTGCTAATGAACAGAAAGTATTAATCTTAGCAACCGAGAGGAGAAAAACGCATAGTGTTTTTCATTAAATCAACTAAATGATTAAATGAGTTAGTCAGTAGAAACCATTTTAATTTTCGAATGGGAAATGTGCGGCGTATAACAAATAAATTCAAAGCACCTTTCTAAGCAAGTTTCCACCATAAAAAATGTGGGTTATAAAGATGTTTGGTATTTTCTTCTTTATAGATAGTCAATATTTTACATGCGGTGACATTAATTGTACAGGACGAAATGCCCCTACTATCTGGGCTTAAAAAACGCTGGCGTCCAGAGCAGCGTCCCTAATGGATCTTCAACACTATTACAAAATGATTGATTATTGTCGTAGTCATTTTAGCAGCTTACAGTGCTGGTATATTTTTAATTAAATTGGCTGTGAATTTTGTAAGTGGCAAAGGTTGATAAACTGGCGCCCGGTACCGTCTTCCTATTCTTCTTACCATGGCTGTCATAGTTGGTACATTTATGTGCATAATCTTCTTAACAGTCCTAAGTCTCTTTGGTCTCAAGCATCGATCTGCAAGATGACTTGCTGTTGGGAGATGGGGAAAAACAGAAAAATTAACTCGGCAAAGACCATGCTACTGAGACATTGCTTGGTGGATGGATGGAGAGGAGAGCTGGCCTCGTCAGCCACTGTGAACTGGTCTGCCTCTCTTCCTCTCGTACCTCGTCAACGCGGAAAAGCAGATGCAGGTGGCAGGTTAGTGGGTCAGTCTCCCGCCAGCAGGTTTAGAGAGCCTTCACTAAGCAAGGCCCTGGGCTGGGTTCTGGAAACACTAGACTGAATTTAGTGCCTGGCCAGACACGAATCTGGCTGAATACACAGGGACCGATTCAGAGATGCACTCTGGAGTAGATGGCTAAGCTGGAATGAAGGAGATTCAGAAGTGGAGGCCAGACAAGTCTCCCCTAAAGAAGTGGCCCTGGAGCTGGGATCTGAAAGCAAGCTCCCACAGCAAGAAGGAGGGGAAAGGAGTGTGTTCCAGGCAGGGGCATGGAATGTGCATAGTCTCTGGGGCTGTAGGGAGTTTCTGAAGACTGGAAAAAGAGGTCAGAGGACTGGAGCCAAGAGCAGGGAAGGAGTGAGAGGGGAAGTACTTCCCACCCTGGATGCAGTTTCTGCATTTCCAGCAAGCCCTTGGGAGCTGCTGGCCAGCTGCAGGGAGGGCTGTCGGCATGGTTCCATCAGGGTGGGATGTTCAGTTGATCGAAGGGCACGGGCACGAGAGGAGGGCAGCCCCACCTTTGATGTGAGCAGGGAAGGAGTGAGAGGGGAAGTACTTCCCACCCTGGATGCAGTTTCTGCATTTCCAGCAAGCCCTTGGGAGCTGCTGGCCAGCTGCAGGGAGGGCTGTCGGCATGGTTCCATCAGGGTGGGATGTTCAGTTGATCGAAGGGCACGGGTACGGGCACGAGAGGAGGGCAGCCCCATCTTTGATGTGTCTGACTTCTACTGGCCTTGAGACAGTAAAACTCAAAACCCAAGAGAAATGTGGGAAAGGGGAAAATGTGTTTAATAGAATTACAGAATGTTAGGGCAGAAAGGGCCCTTCAAGACCGTGTCCTTTGCTACTATCAATTTGCAGACTAGGAAGGTGAGCTCCGGAGGGGCCGATGTTCCACACTGATTGGCAGTGAGTAACCAGTTTACCTCATTCTTAAGTGAGGGCCCTTCCTAAAACACTACTACTTCCCCAGAATCCCTGATTTTCACCCTGAGCTGAAAAGATTCCGTTATTTATCCAGTGCATAGAGAGAAGCCAGGCAGGACTTACAGAAAACCAGGTAGTATGACAGGTGAGAACAGGCCTTCAGAGCCAGAGGTACCTGGGTTTGAAACCCATCGGGGCTGCCTCACCTTGACAAGATACATAAGGGCCCCGAGCTGCAGCTCCACGTTGGTACAATGGGACTAGAGTCCTGCCGGCATGACTGGGTTGTCAGGATTAAGTTATCCTTCATGCAAAGTGTGATTTAATCCATGAGATCCCTGACATGTAGTAAGCACCTGATCCATGGCGACTATTATCTTAGGACAGTCGAGCTAATTGATTTGAGTGAATTTTCTTTTGTTCCCTTCATAGAAAAAGAGAAAAGACTTTCACTTCTTGTGATGAGGCGTATGTTTTTGAAATGTGCACATGCATGCACAACACAAAAATATGTGTACCTACACACATGCACATACTTAGACTTCTGATGCGCCTAAGAAATTTTGCATCTAGTCTACTAACTTGTCGTAAATAACTGCTCATTAGATTGTGTGTCCTGCTAGGTATAGGTACATGAACACCAACAAACAATGCTTACAGGCCACAGGCAATAAAGTTGAACTGCAGCTCCAAGAAGGAAAGGCACCAACTTCAGTTCAGCATTGTTTGTCGTGGAAAGAATTTAAGCATTAGGAGGTGGCACAGACATGGGGAACGAAATCCCAGCCAAACCACTTATTATCTGTGAGACCTGGAGCAAATTAGTTAGCCTTTCTGATTCTCAGTCTACCCAGCAGCAAAGTGAGAGTCATATTATTTATTTTATAGCATATGATATGAGATTTCCCTTACAAGGGCAAAATGTCTGGCTCGTAGTGAATGCCCGACAAGGTTGGCTCTTGCAGTTATATCAACCAATCCTCCGAGGATTCCTGCTCTCTTCACCATTGAGAAGGGGGTGATGGGGGACTGGATCTCATTCAGTTGCACAGCCTTTTTATTATTATTTTAATTTGCTCTAGGGCACGGGTGTTATGGGGGAGGCAAGAAAGTGAGAAGGCATCCCCACGGGGGAGAAGGCTATGCCACAATCCCTTCTTCTCCATTCTCCTCCTGGTGTTTTAGGCATATAGGCACATACACTTGGCATGTTCTTCAAGCTGCCAGTCCCAGGACTCAAACTGCATAGTCGGCCATGTAGAATCCAGCCACCTTAACCACCATGCCACTGGCTGGCCCTCACAGCCTTTTATTTCTAAGGTAGACAAAGTAGATGCCATTTTCAGCAATGCAAAGCGACCTCCACCCCTCCCATAACGGGCTCGGGTTCGGCACCTGATCTCTACACTGAGGTAGTGAGGACGGCGTCTAGAGGAATAGCTCCAGTATCAGGGGAATCTCACCAGACAGATGACTGCACGGGGAGGTTGTATTAGTAAAAACTGCGTGGGGTAAACACGGCAGTTATTTTCACTGTAGTGAAAATATACTATAGTCTCTATAGTCACTATAGTCTCCATAGTTTCCGACAAGAGGCTGTGCGAATTGCAAAGGAGGGAAAAGAATATCTCAGTTTTCCAACGCTGAAGTTACAGATGAGCCACCAAGCTACCATTTGTATTTGCGGGCGATTTCAATCATTCTGCATGCATGCTCACCCTGGCAGCATTTCAAAGCATTATTCCACATTACCGTAGTATTTTATCACGCATCACATGCCTGACACAGTTCTCTCCCTGGCAAGAGAGTGCTTCAGGCTAAGTTTCAGATTTTGTCAAAAGGAAAAAAGAAATTGTTACACTCTGGAAATGGCTGGGGAAACATACCTTCAAGTGCTACAGATTTGTAAAGGTAGAGCTCCAGGTGGAAAAGGAGGGGCATTGAGTTTATGTCTTGCCTGTTCCTGGGCCGTCTTCGCGACATTCTCCAGTTGGGCGCGCGTCTCACAAAAGTGCTCCGCTGGCCAGTGGGGCTCGACTTCCAGAGCTTCAAGCGAACAGGGAAATGGAAGCTGCCCCTCCAGTCATTCCCATCAGTATTTCTTCATCTCTGCTTCCTGGGGAAGAAGGGTCGGCATCACCACTGGCAGGGGTTATCTGGTCATTTCATTCTGCCTCTCTCTGCAAGTTTTTGCTATAGGGTGTGGGAGCTCACCAGAGAGAGACAGAGGGAGGGAAAGTGAGAAATCACTCCCCAGGGTGCTGGCTACACTGTTTCCCCTCGTGAGAAATTGTGCCAGCATTTTTTAAAAGCCACTGGGTCTGGGACTTGAACTGTGGGGTTGGCCATGTGAGATCAAACCACCTAAACCACCATGCCACCTGCTGGTCCAACATTCTGCCTTTCTCATTTAGTGTTGCCTGGACTTGGCTGACAAGGTGTGCAGGTGCTCCTCTCTCTCCTTCCCTCCCTCCTTCCCTCCTTCCCTCCCTCCTCTCTTTCCTTTCTCCCTTCTTTCTCTCTCTTCCTCTCTCCTTCCCTCCCCCCTTTTCACCCATCCAACCAAGCCATATTTATGAGATGTGTTGGTTCTGGCATGCTCAGTACCAAACATTGTGAAAACATCTTTAAGCATGACAGCCATGATCCCAGAGCTCACAAGTGCCACAACAGAGCTTACGAGGGGGGTTTTAAGGTGCAGGGGAAGCACATGGGTGGGGTGCTGACTCAGATTGGTGGGGTACGGGTAATGTCACATCAAATTCCAAACAATACATGAGAGGTTTCAAAGATTACCCAATATCTCCTACTCTCGCCCATTCTGCCTTCCTAGCCTGGCTGAGGGACGGGTAAATCTGGGATATAAGAGCATGATGAAAATTCAAGTAATCCCTTGTTTTGCACATCCCAAGCATTAATCAAGATTTCTGCCATGTCTAGAAAACACTCCTACTGCTACTTATATTTCTTCACATCGGCTTCCCTTTTCCACCTGAATATGTAATTGAAAAAGGAAAGATTACATCACTATTATAATAGAAAACAGTATACCATGCCTAAACAGAAGGTAACTCAAAGTAAATACAATGACAAATAGAGCAGTGTTATTATATTTCAGCCGGGTCCTGTTGTTGGAGCCTGAGGCTTGTTCTTTTCAGCCACAGAAAGGGTGATCGTCAAATTTTTGTGCAGCCTGAACAAAGGAGCACCAAACGAACCATTCTGGAGAGAGCTCCGGAAGGAAAAGGATGTGGAAACGAAACACTCACTGTGGTTCACCTTCTTTAAGGTCCTGACTAAGGACTACCTAAAACCACCTTCAGTACCTAAGAGGGGTGACTCCCACACTCTGTGAGGAACCACGACTGTCCCAGTGGAGGGGACATAAATGTGTAAGTAATGGAGTGATGAAGGCAATACACGGCTTTGCAGGCCTTGTTGAGGAATTTGGGTTTTAACCCAAAAGAATAGAGAGCGAGAGAACCAAGCAGACGGTTGGCCAGCACAGGGTGATTGGCATTGCAGAAAGGCCGCCCACCTGCCGAGGAGAGGGTGCCCAGAAAGCAGCAAGAGTGGACAAAGGAGGCCCAGGGAGGCTTTCCGAGGACCCAGGAGAAAGAAGGCAGTGGCAAAAACTAGCAAGGGGAGAGAGAGGAGGAACCTATCAAATCTGTTGATTGATGGGGTGAAGAACATAGTAGGTACGCAAAAATATTTCTGATTATTGCAGCTCACAAACCTTCGCCCTTGAAAGAGTGGGCTCAACTCAATCATTCTTAAATCTTTTTTTTTTTTTTTTTTTGCCAAGACTTCTAAAGCATCGTGCCTGCCTTAATTGAAAAGTATAACTACTCTGGACAGTGTAGGAGCTCTCAGACTCGGTCCTCACTCCCCTCCTCTGTCCCCCTTCCAGCTCCTATCTGAGGTCTCTGGTTCCTTCCGGTTAGTCAGAAGTGAGGTCTGTAATCCCAGCCTGAAAGCTGATAATGGCTCCTTATGGGTCAGGGGAAGTCTCAGTTTCTCCCATCATGTTCCCCTTGTCTGAAGATAATAGTTTTAATGTTGGAGAGGGGAGGTGGTGGCTATTTTGTTCCCCTAGGGGACATTTAACAGCATCTGAAGACACGGATGTCACAAGTTGGGGGGGGAGGGGTGTCTGCTAGTCATACCACGTGGGTAGGGACCAAGGGCGCTGCTCAACATCCCTCAACGCACAGGCCACCCAACAATGGAGAATTATCTGACCCGAACACCAACAGAGCCTAAGGTTGAGAAACCCTGTGAGGAAAGTGGGAGTGTCAGATGTGTGGTGGGGGTGGAGGGTGATAGGGTAGAAGGGGTAGAAAGGATGGAACTGGAGAAGCCCAAGTTCCTCTGGGTATTCTGGGCTCAGAGTCAGAACCGGGCAGGCAATTAAAGAGGCAGCAGCCCCAAACGACCCCCCTACCCACAGACTACTAGCGCTCTGCTCCTGCAGCTCCGTGTGGGTTGAGCGAGCTTTGAGGTGACTCTTTGTGGCAAATAGAATGTGTCAGCGGGGGCAGGTCACTCAGTCTACAGTTACCATGGCAGGTGTGTTGAAATTCCTGCAAACTTCACTCTGTCTTGGCTTGTTTCCAAGTCTGCCCAGAAAATGAGTGTCTCTGTTTTCAGAAGAAGGTAGCAATGATTCCTTTTTCTGGGGGGGGGGGAATGCCCAAAAGATGAACACTTTGTAAAGCTCTGCTACCTCCTGCCTGTAAGCATGGAGTCACAAATATAAATATTTGTGAAATATTTATCTTGTATACCAATACCCACACACAAATTACCATTTAATTAATTAACCTGATAGCCTGAGCTATGCTGATCAATAAGGGAGAGAATGGAAGAAACTGGATCTGATGCATCACACTCCTGAACTGTCTGCAGCAAGCTCTGAGCCCTTCTGAAATGAGCACACTTTGAGTCCACAGGGGTCCTGAGAGACAGGGAGGGACCTGTCTTACAGCATTGGGGAAGTCAGAGGAACATCCCATCCAGATGGGGCACTGGGCTTCTCTTTATTTAGGGGATGTAGAGTTTGTGGTTAAGGGAGCCAGATCCCACATGGCTGACCACAGCTCACAATCTGCCTCTGACTTGAAAAACATGATCCACACGTGTATGTACATGTCCCAAATCCTGACAGGATGGAGACATGGAGGAGAAGGGATTGCAGAGTGACCATGCCCCATGGCGGCGGGGGAGGGGAATGCTCTCTCCTTCTCCCTCTCTCGCTGTTTCTGGGCAAGCACACATGCCTGACACTGAGAAGTGTGTGTGGGAGGGGGAGAGAGAGAGAGGGAGGGAGAGGGAGGGAGAGGGAATGAAATAGATTGACTTCCATGCAAACTAAGAGCTGTCTGCACTAGCATGAACAGTATCAACTCTATTTTCATGGAATGCACACAATCTAGTAGGTAACTACAGAACTAAAAATTCAAGAAAAAGAAACTAAATCTGCATTGAGAGATTTCCTTATGCTTCTTTAAGAATCAGGAAATCCAGTCCATAACAGGCAATTTAAGAAGGAAACACCTTCCAAGGCCCGTTATCCACCGTAAGTGGGAGGAGCCTGGTTCTCTATCCATTGTTCCCTCCACATTTCCCCTCTGACTGTAGTGGAGAAGGCTCCTGAAAGGTGGGTGTGGGAGTACTGTGGACCTAGAGTACACGTGCTGAGAGCAAAGAGAACCGACTTGATTTGGATATGAGAGCACAGTGACAGATTTAGCATCCCTATCACAATTTGGGAAGGAAATGACAGCTTAGAAAGCTCCCATCCCATTGCCGAATCTTTTTTCCAGGGTCTAGAGCATAAGGGAATGCTGAGCGAATCTTCACTGGGGACCAGGTGGAGGTAAAGAAATGCCCTGGGATCAATATCCAGCAAAAGCATCCAGGCTGACTTCAATGATCAATGTTGCACAATGAAAATATCACTAAAATTCATTAGCAGAATGAGATCTCTAACTTTTGCCACCCCGGACCACTGGGAACCTTTCCTTTGTGAGCTCTTGGGCCAGGGATTATCCTTCCCTTAAATTATAGCAAAGTCTGTCTTAAGTGATCACCCAGGGACCATCCAAAATACGTAACTTGCTGGAGGTTGAACTTTAGCTAAAGGTCAAACAAAATTCTCCTGGAAACCTTAGGGGTTGCTTAAAGGTGAAGTAAAAAGCTAAAATGAAAATTGACTTAATCCCTGGTTTATGAACCAAGGAGCACAGCTGAGCAGGTTGAGGGATGCATTTAACTCATAAGTGTACTTGGACTCATCTTTCTGAAATGTCTCATCCTGGCAAGTGCCACAGCCTTTCTTGCTACATTTTGATGACCTTTGGCTGTGTGCTTGGGGCCCATGGCAGGGGTGATGTTCCAGTGTCACTCCAGGTTAGGTCCTGCTCACAGTACAGAGAATGGGGCTAACCTACACCTTTAAAATCTCAAGTATCTTTACCTGAGAAGAGGGAAATTGACTTGACCAACGGAAGCATCTGTTCAGTGTAGGAAGAGCTTGCTTTGAAGAGAGAGGTCTTTATTTCTAGTCTGCTGTACAAAGAATTATCTTTATAGTGCCTCATGAAGGATTACCATGGGAAATCACGTAGATATATAATCTATTCTCTAATCTGCTCTGAAGTACCTAGAGAATTTATAACCATCTGGAGGTCGCTCTCTGTGTCTGACTCAGATGTGGGCCCACTGCGTTCACCTGCCTACTGCCTGGCAGCAGCTCCACTGGAGTTGGTTTCACTCCTCTTTCCACCGAGAAGGACGCTCCACTTCGGAATCCTCCTCCTCACGTGGGACGTGGCAGCAGCTCCACTGGAGTTGGTTTCACTTTCCACCGAGAAGGACACTCCACTTCGGAATCCTCCTCCTCATGTGGGACGGGAGCTTCCTCACCATTTCCTTACTCCCCTTGTATTTCCTGGACACTGCCAAGTGCTGGTTCTCAGCCGAACCAAACAGAGATGCTCTCGGTGCAGCTGACACTTACAGGCCCTGGAGTCCACTTCGGGTCAAGCGGAAATGCAGGTCAACACAGAGGAGATGGGGGAGAGGGTGGTCCTGAGGGGAGAGGCACCGACTTGAGGATCTCTTGATACAGAAGCAAGGTTAACCAGTGCTCAGATCAGTATAGGCAGGCCTTTTATTTATCTGTATCAGTGATCATGGCATATTTGGGTAGTCTTAGTTTGTAGACAGAAGCGTGTTTCAAAAAAACAAAACAAAACATGATGTTTTTACAAAGAGAAGTTTGACACGGTCTCTAGGCTTGTAGCTAAGCCTTGTTTACGTCCGTGGTAACGGAGCTAATGGAGCACACAGGGCAAATCAGCCCGCTCAGTGCTCTGACTGAAGTCTCTCTGGAAACCAGGCAGACAACCACATGAAGGCGCCCCGTGGAGAAGCCCAGGAATAGCTGGTATCCATCAAGGCTTGATTCTGTTGGGTCCCACTACCTCAACTTGGCTTTTGGTGCCTGTCCAGAACAATCATCCCTCTGCTCTTAACAATATTCACTTTTCGGATCACAGTGGCAGATCACAGCAGAGCAAGAATGGAATACCACAATGCCATCTTCTTTCTAGAAATCGTTATGGCCAACTCAGGAGCTGGCAACTAAACGGCAAATGTTTCATGAAGGCCTACCTCCTCAGACATGGTGCCATGAAAAATACATTGGGTCTGTGTGTGCCTCAGTCGTGACAGGATAGAGAAGAGGAGGAAGAAGGGTTGTGCCATGACCATGCTCCATCAGGTCTCTCTCTCTCTCTCTCTCTCTGGTGAGTGCATGCTCCCTTTGGCCAAAATAATAATAACCAATAATAATAATAATTGTAGAGTGGAAGAGAAGCAGACCATGTGGGGAGGTGTCTTGGACATAGAGCATATAGAATTTGTTGGTGGAGTTGAGTATCTAAATTCGGAAGCTAAAGGCTTCCTCTTTTTTGACTTGAGTAACCCGCCGGCAGATAATGCTATTTACTAGAAAGACTGAAGTAGGGTGAGGAGTTCCAGGTCAGGTGTTGTCTTTGGGTTATAAAAAATATGAGGTTCTCTCTTCACATGCAAGAGGAATGATCAGATGAGCCGCTGAGTATACACAGCTGCAACTCATTAGACAGTTCCGGCTAGACACATAAATTTGGGAGTCGTGCAGACATAGTTAAAGTCCTGGCCTTCAATGAGATCACCTGGGTGAGAAGAGGAATAAAATAAAGGAGTGGAGAATCGAGCCTGGGCCACTGGAACATTTTCAGGTTGGTGTGGGAGGAGGGGAAAGGTTTGTAAGCAGACGGAACCTGTTACCATCATCAAGGGCCTGCGGCTGCATAAGCGTGGAGGGCTTGGAGAAGGTGGCTGGGCACAGTGAGCAGGGGACAGACTGGAGCTAGCCAGGTACAGGGAGCTTCAGTTCTATTCTGTGTGTGAGGGGGAGACATGGAATGAACATGACACAGTGGGGTTCCAGAATCTGAGTTCTGGGATCAGGAAGCCTGAGTTCGTCTGTAAATTCTGCTCCTTACTGGGTCAGGCAACCTCTGTGGGCCCCAGGGTCCTCATCTGTAATACAGGGATGCTCCTAGGACCTATCACACAGGGTTGCTGTGAAGGTCCAAAGAAATAATGCACGCAGTGTGTTCAGATCAGTGCTCAGCCCCACTAAGTGCCCCCCAAAGCCGGTTCTGACTATTACTAGAGAGGAGAATCACATGATCTGATTTATGCTTTTGGATGATGCTGGACTCCAGGAGGTCCGGAGTAGACACAGGAGACCACTTGGGAGGTGGCTGTGGTCATTTAAAGGAGACAAGGGCCTTTCTTCACATCCTATAGGAGCCCCCCTTCCTCAATTTTCCCCAGATGAACCATCACTGTTTTGCTAGTTTTTGAGGTGGTAGAGCCAGTGAAGCCCTACTGTGTACCTAGTCCATGAAATGTCCAGTCCCACGTCTCTGAGGGTGTCTTACCACTCTTCTTCCTCAGGCTCTGCCCTCAGGTCTCTAATCAGGGTGAGTCGGTGATCATGTACACCCATCACCCCCAACGAAGAGAACAGCGGTGTCTAGCTTAGCACACTGGGAATAAATGCAGACCGCAGCACAGTTCATGCGAGATTCAAGTTGTGGAACAGTGCAGCAGAGAAGCTGTGGGAGTCCGGCCTGACTGCTGCTAGCGATCAGCCAGGAGGAAGCCCGTGCCCGGGGGAGGGGGGCTTCCAGCCCAGGCTGCAGGGACGACTCCTCAGCAGGCAGCAGAGATTTCAGGCTCATTTAAACCCTGTGGATAGGAGCAAAGAACTGGGCAGGCAATTCGAATTCATTTTCGAGGTCACAGCGCCGAACTTTGACTGCGTTTGCTCACAGAAACATTAACAGAGGAACGTGCTCCGTCATGAAGAATGAGAATCAGAAAGACTTTAATGGGGCTTCATTATATCCATCTGTCCATCCATCACCACTTCCTCATTGCTCACCACTTGACTTGAGAAACGAGAACACCCCTAACTAATTAGATTTATCCTAATCTCCTTTCTGCTCCATCAATCCTCTCAGAGGCCATCTGTGAGTTTAGAGTTCAGACCTTCAAGAATTATGCTAATCAGTCTTTTTCTAATTTAAAGTGTTCATCTGATGACCACTATTTGAAATTTCTGGCTGTGACAAATGGGAAACCATTGTAAGATTCTGTGCTAATTTTAAACACCCTCATCCTCTGAAGTGCCACATAAGGCATAATTTCTAAGAAAATAGGCAAAAAGCAAAAGACCATTGAGCCAGGTAACAGAGGAAAAAAAAAATACAGTCAGCATGGGGAGAATTTTAATTGGTTTGTGATATTAGAAGATGATTTGCTTTCATTTGTAGAATCAAACAGGAAAGTGCCTGATTATTAAATTTGGGAGTGGATTGTGTATTTTGGCAGTTCATCTACTGGTATATGAAATGCACAGGAGAATTGATTCACCAAGGTAGGCACCCTGAGGGAAATTATTTACAAGTGAAGTTTCAGACCCTGCAGCTGCAGGGTTTGTGGCCTGGTCACTAGAGGGTGGTGTGGAATGTTAAGCAGAGTTCTGTGCAGAGAGGTCACCCCAGCATCGCAGAGGTTTGAACCTGGGAGGAGAAAAGGGCACTTCTGAGACAGCACACGGATGCTGACCGCAAATCCAGATCCCAGGGCCATATGGGTGAATAGAAATCACCAGCTCTGGATTTAGGGGTCTAAACAGGACGCTCCATGGAAAGATTGATGCTACTTTAATTAGTGATTAAATGAATAAGCAGGTGAGTCTGAACTGGGACTTGGAGCCTGCAGCCATGCTTCTCGAACTTGAACGTGCCTATGACTCTCTCGGAGACCTTGTTAAAACAAAGGTTTTGATTCAGCAGCCCGGGATACAGCCTAAGATTCTGCGTTTATAGCAAACTACCAGGCATGCGGTTGCTGCTGCTGTGTACATTACACTGGGTGTGGCAGAAGAGGTTAAGAGTTTGAGCACGGGTAGAACCCAGTTCAGGTCCTGGCCACTTCCTAGCCAGGTAGCCTTCTGCAAATTACTTCCTCTGTCTGCACCTCATTCATGGAACAAATATTTACTGAATCTCAACTATGGGCTAGAAACTGTGCTCCGTTAAACAGCTAGAATCACACAGAGAAGTGTCTCTGCCCTCCTGTGGGTATTCGTCTGGTGGGCAGACCGACCTAAGAAAAGGTAACAAGGCAAAAAGGTGCCCTTATGCCTCGTGCAACTGCTAACAGTCATAGAAATGGTGGCAGTGTTCATTGAGAACCTGGCCTATTCAGGGAGTTAGTTAAAGAAGTTCACATATATTGACTTAATAAATGTTTATCACGGTAGGTCCTCTCACCCTCTGTTTTCAACACAGACACGGAGGCACAGACAGAGGGGGCAACTTGCCCAAAGTTCGCACACTGAACAGTGGTAGAGACGGGATTTTAAGCCACACAGCCCAACTCTGGAACAAATGCTCTTGACGAGGAGTCGGCAAACTTTATCTGTAAAGGGCCAGATGGTAAATATTTCAGGCTCTGCAGGCTGTTGGGCTTCTGTGGCACCTACTCAACTCTGCCTTCGCACCACGAAAGAAGCCACAGACAGCACATAAATGAAAGCGCGACTCTGCTCCAATCGGGGTTCAGTTAACAACACAGGTCTGGGCCAGAGGCGACCCATTGGCTGTTCTCTGCCAGCGCCTGTTTTGGATCATTATCTAAACCAGCACTTCTCATATTTTTAAGCAGCCCGTCCAATGTAAATACAGTGTGAACTACACATGTAATTTTTAACTTTATAATAGCCATATTTTAAAAAGGTAACATTAATTTTAATATATTTCATTTAACCGAATATATAATCATTTCAACAGTAAGCATTATAAAATAGATGTTAATGAGACCTCCTAACCCTAGCTGGGAAGAGTAGGATGCCAGGGGGCTCTGAAGAGCCGTATGTTTTGTCTGCCTTTACATGATTGCAAAAGTCTAAGAGCCCACTCACGCTCCACGTTAAGGGCTTGCATGCTTCATCCGACTTAATTGAAAACATAAACATTCTCATCCTGCTTACAGCTTTTCTTCCCTGGTGTCCTCATACAATGGTTCTTTTCAGCTTCTGGAACTGAACCGGAATGTAACTACACCCTTCCAGGAAGCCTTCCTAGACTGCCCTAAATTGCCTGCCTCCTCCAGTCCCAGCCACCCTGTTTCCTTTCCAGGGAGGCAGAATACAGCTTTGCTAATACAAGTGTGGGCAGCAGACCAACATCACTGGGGTGGCTTATTAGAAATGCAGAATTTCAGTTCCCATCCCAGGTAATTCCTAAGTACTTTAAAACTGCCAGGCCTAATACATCAGCAACCAGCCCCATGTGGCGCTAGTGTGAGAGGTACTCTCAGCGTAACACACACACCGGATTTAGAGGACTCGTGTGAAAAGAATCGACTAGTTATTTCGACTGTACAGAACCCTATTTTCTCGTCTATACGAAGTATGGCCTCTACTTGACGAGGCTGAGCGAGAGGGGAGGGCTGTGGCTGGCATGAAACCCTGTCGAGGATACTTCTCTCTCTCTCACTCTCTCCATCAAAGGAAAAAAGAAGTGAGAACTAGACTTTTTTAAAAAGGTAAATTCTGTGTTGTCCTCAAAAACTAGAAAGCAGGTATTCACAGCAGTTATTTCCTATTTCAAATAAAAGCTTGTTTTTTAAAAAGAATTATTTATTTCCATTTGTTTGTTATTTTTTTTTCTTTATTTGATGAGAGAGAGAGTGAGAGAGAGTGAGAGAAAGGGAAAGTGAGAAAGCAAGCCACCAGGTCCAGGACTTGAACTTGAACCATGGTTGGCCATGTGGGAATCCAGCGCCCTTATCCACCACACCACCTGCTGGCCCCGAGAAGCTTTAAATAAAATTTGAAGGTGGGCATGACAGCAAGCACCGGTCTGACTCTCAGAAGCATCAGAAGAGGGCTGGCCCATAGTCCAGAGGTGAAGAAAGCTAGGTCCCCCATGGCTGGGTATAGTTCGAGTCCTGGCCCTAGCAGCTTAAAAAGCACTCTAGGTGCTAGAGCATGTGCGTATGTGCCTACAATTCCAGCAAGATGGAGACATGGAGGAGAAGGGATTGCCGTGTGACCATACTCCACGGGGGAGTGCTTTCTCCCCTTCCTCTCTTTCTCTGGCAAGTGTGCTGGCAGTTCAAAAGTCATCACAGAACAGCAGCCATTTGGAGGATTTCTTGCATTGATTTTCTTGGCCTTCCTGGGCAGAAGCAGTGTGGCAGGGGCACAGGTAAGGTCGAGGGCATGAATTAACAACCAGAATGGCCTGGTTATAGATTGCATCCCTATGTGACAGTTTTATGGCCTTGGATACATTGCATAGCTTTTCTGAGCCACTGTATCTATCAAATGAGAACAGGACTAAGTATACTGTATTAGTTTCCTGGACTTGTACTACAACAGATGCAAACGTGGGTGGCTTAAACCACAGAAATTCATTGTCTCAAAGTTCTGGAAGCTAGAACTCAAAGATCAAGTTGTCAGTAGTGTTGGTTCCTTCTGAGGAAGAATGTTACATGCTTCTTGCCTAACTCCTGGCGACTTTCTGGTCATCTTTGGCATTTCTTGACCAGTAAGTCCAACACCCTAGTCTCTACCTTCATCTTCACATAATGTTGTTTCTCTCTGCATGACTGGCTCTGTGTTCCCAATTCTCTCTTTGCATAAGAACATCAGTCACATGAGATTAGGGCTCACTTCAATGCTCTTATTTTAACTTAATTCTGTTAAAAAGAAAATTCTATTTCTATACAAGGTTATATATACTAATAGACTGAGGATCTATTTGGGAAGACACCATTCAACCCAT